TTAAAATGGTGAAAAAGTTTATGTCGTTTTGGGTAATTATGTGTTTTAGAAATGTAGTCGATTTAAAACTTGTAAATGCAACTTGAACGGAAGATTAGCAATGTCTTGTAGCTCTCTGAAAGACTATTGAAATAAAATGAATAATACTCATGAATACTTCTGCCACAAGACATTCATACATGTAATTTTATTTGAGGAAACATCAGTTTTCTAAGGAATTGATTCTAAGGTGAACTATACTGATCCAGAAGTTGATGAAGATAAGAGGAGGACCATCATCACCTATTTCCAGTCCCCTCTCATACAGCAAAATTACAGCGGTTCATGAATATGGTTTCCCAGAAAAAAACTGTTCTAACGAGCCTTCGGGTAAACGTCTTTGACGGAAAACAACGTGCTTCTGGGACTCGATGCGCAGCAAGTGACTATTCAAGTTCAGTGACTAAGTCAGAGATCCTAAGGTTCTTGTATTCTAAGTCATGACCCTAGTATTTTAACCATCACTGCAAAACTAAAAGCTGGCATCGCCATCATCGATTTGAACTTACCACAAGTTGACCTCACGATTTTCACATGACGAAAAGCTGTAAAGCGAGTGGAGCGAGCTTTTCTGACCGCGAAGAGGCCGAGCGAGGGACGAAGTTGCGAGAGGTCGTCCTTCATCCCACGGAGTATTCCAAGTAAGACCAAGGACTTTTTCGAAAGTCTTTCATCGGCGAGAGGCTGGGAGCTGTTTTCTTTTACACCCCACACAATAGACAGTGCAACTCTAACCGTAGCGTGCGTAGCCTGCCTCCATCGCGCACGCGCCCCGTTTGTTCGTTCCAAATTCCTTCCTAAGCGCCGGTTTCGCAGGCTATTCTATCCGTTACATTTCAAGATCCCTCCGGCTAATTCTCAGAAGTACCCATGCGGTAATCGACAGAGATCAGCTGAGATGACTCGCCTGATTATTTTCAGCATTTATATACACCGATGGACATGTGTTTGCTTTGGACTCATCTCTATTTTAGAAGCAGACCACAACTGCTGATCGATGCTACACCGGATACTAAGATTCCGTCTCAAAGTAATGAGAAATGGTATTCATCTGCTGACGCCCTACTCACGTGCCTCTACATCTACCCCCTTAAAAAGTGTGTGATGTGATATCTAGTGTACTTACTGAGTGGAAATTCGCGAACATACTTTGCAAACTTTGCGAAAACAGGTAGATAGATAAGATTTATCTTTGGCTATTTGTTCCTACAAATTTTTTCGCAATAGTCGATATTTTGGCCATGTTCGTCTCACACTAGTTCACTGTTTCAGTTCGCGAGATTTACGGTTGTTTCGCTACTTTCCAGTTCAATGACGTCTTACTTCATTAGTGTCCAGTTCAATGACGTCTTACTTCATTTCGCCAACGTTCTTGATTTCTTGAAAGAGCTGAAGGTAAGTAGTAAGAAAAATATACACCCACCCGAATCGTGACCCGGAAATAAGCCCTTAACTGATACTGGCTAAGGATAAGAGAATTTTCACCACGGTCTCCACAAAGGCTCTGCTGGTAGCATCCATTTATATACAGTCTGCAGCAAGATGTTCCTTTCTATCACGTTTTTTCTATTCAACGAGTCAGAGTGGAGCTGAAAACATCTAATACGAATTGATTACTGCTTAGGGAAAACCGACATTACTGAAAATAGCTGTATTAACATACGCCTAGCCTTCAGTTATTCAAAATATGAGGAAAACGTGCATTTTTGAATGACTTCGAAGTATGGGAGCGCTATTTCAAATCATTTTGGTATCTCCCCTGGCTAACTTTAGTTATGGAACACTTTTATTGTAATTTTTGGCGAAAACTACAGCAATTTTCGCCAAACCTCTAGCAAAAAGTTTGTTTCCTAGTTTGTGATTCACTTCCTCTCGTACGAGCGGGAGACTGGGAGGAATCTCCATGACGTCATGGCGGCAATGGCGGCGGCGTGAGGTGGGCATATCCGGTAAGAGACAAAAAACGCGAAACTGCAGTCGCTTCCTTGTTGTGATAGTCCATGAAGAAAAGGAGAGTGTTGGCCTTGTTTTGAATGACTTTTCATCGTTTCTCATTAATCAATGAACTTGGAGAGTCATCCCTAGTTAGTGAGATCGATATAAGTTTGGTGAAAGAACTCTGTGGGCGCGGCGAGTTGGGAATATATCCGAGTTTCAATTTCCCAACTTCACGATCTGAAACTCGCATTCAAGATTTTGGAAATTGGAGTCGTCTGTCCGCATAATTGTCTCGGAACGATTATTGATAATTGTTATAAGTCGATATGAGGTAAGATTGCAAAGTTCTATTGCTTTGATCTGCTTGTTATTTGATGTGACAGTCTATGCATAACCGAACATTCCGAACAAAAATTGATTGCATTCTCGATATACTCTACCTTGTGTTTGTATAGTCTGATTTCTGATTCCCACTGTTTTGTTATTCAATCAATCGTAGGTACTTTCAGCTTAAAAAATTGGTTAAGTCTGCGGTATTTTGTTGAAAAGTAATGGTTATTTCAAAGCAATTCGGCGTTGGTATGTCGAACATGTTTTAAACCTCAATCATTCGCTTCGCTTCGGAAAGCCTAAACTTGTATTATGGTATTTAGCGCTAGATTGCAGTGCTTCGGGCACTATATTTCATCTTTAAACTGCAAAGAAGTAATTCCATATATGCGGTTGTACTGAAGCTGTAGCTTAAGATGCTTGATGACGTTGTCGGGATTAGCTTCGTTTCGTTACATTTAGCACGATGAAGTAATGTAATAACTCGATCTCATCTGGACGAAAGTCTTTGCGAGGATGAAGACGTCGTTTAACAAAGGCACGCAGCTGAGCCTCTATCGCGGGCTTTACTGCTAATTATTCCATAGATCGAACTTTTCTACTGGCATGAACATCTCTCCGGTATTGTATTTGGTGAAATTGACACCAAAAATTCTTGTGGAAAACGACATTGTCGTGCTCAGCTTTGTTTCGATCCTCGAAAAATAGAGCAATGAATTTCAGCTTTTAGAATTCCCTCCACGTTTTCGGAGTGTTCTTTCTCGTCAAGAATTGTAATGATTTTTTTATAAACTTTGCAGGTTTTAGATAGTTTCTTCCTTACAGTCAGTTACAGCAGAAAGATCAGAGGATCTGGGCCTTGTATTTGTAAACAGTAAAAATTCCAACCCTGCTGGTGAAACTCGAGATCAGTATACCTACTTGATCAGCTTTCGATCGAATGTAATATATTGTGTTCGTTTCTCTCGTCTTCTATTATACTTTAAATATACACCTGGTATGATAGCTAAAAGAGTGTTTGTGGCATTGAAAATATTTCTATATTTGTAGTGAGTCAATCTCTTACGTTTTGCTTCAAAGAATATAATATTGGCTTTTAATTTACAATAGTAGCTGGATTGTAGTCGCAATAGTCTCACATAAACAAGATTGCTGATGGTAGCTATTAAAGTGTTGGTAAACCAGGAAGACATATATTTAGAGTTGTAACAAAATTCAGTATTGAAAGTTCAAGTTCTATGAAGTCGACTACAGCTTTCTCGTGTCCATCTGGTAGCCTTGGCACATATATTCTGTTGTTTCAAACCAAGATACGATCTGCCTTAGTGTTATTGGGTAACCAGACGTGTGTTCCTTTGAATTTTTCTGCGTAGATAATATTTTTCTTCCGTTTTCTTGTAAGTAAGAAATATCTGAGGTATTTTGTATGCTTAGACATGTTTAGTAGAATTGTTTTCCTTTGAGTTTAGTTTGGGGATTCATTGCTATGTAAATATGCCCTGTTTTCAGAACAAAGGAATCTGTTCTTTCAGGGTGTTATTTCTTTAAATTTAAAAACAGTGATTCGGATAAATTCCATTGCAAATATTTCCAGACAGTTTATGCCTAACATTCACTTTTTGGAGGTACATATACAACTAAAAGAATGAATCCTGTATCTTTCTCATAAACATTTTTGTTATCATAAACTAAATTAAACTCTGCTGGGATTAAATGGCAAGTTTGGTAATTTCCTCATTGTTACGGATAGTGTGGTTACCAGGTGACCTGATGCAAAAGACTGGAAAGGGTCCGAACCATAACCCACACCATAATGTTAACACATTACTTGACAATTAGTTTCTACAACATCAAGAGACACCCGTGATAAGTTTTCTCAAAAACTCTTGATATGTCACCAGGGGTTTCAATAAGCACGGACGGCTGACGAAACACGTCGGCTACTTTGCTCATAGAGGTTGGCTACTTTTTTACGGAAAGAAGAATCAACTTGATTGAATAAAGTTAAAAACAAAAAATATATATTAAAATCTGAATGAAAACGTAACTATGATTTGTTTTCTGTAAGGCCCACTGATTTTATGTTATACTTTAGTCATGTGAACGCTATATTTCAGTCATTTTTTCAAACGTTTTTTACGGGTTTACACAGAATTTGTTTATGTGCAAAAGTACGTTATTTAGTTTTTTCATCATTTGTTCATTGCTCGTAGGAATTGATTGTGTGACTGGTAACTTGAAAGCTACATTTTCTTGAATGAAAAACATGCTCCTTTGTCCTCAAATATAGTCTCCAGAATGCTGAAGATCACATTTTTAGGGCTTTGAAATTTCAAAATTTTCTGGGGCGGAACGCGCTTAGACCTTCCCCCCCTCCTAGAAAAGGGGACCAACGACCCCTTGATACAGTCGGTTACTCCGTTCAAACCGCTGGCTACTTCAATTTTTATTGAAACCCCTGTGTTACTGAGCTAGGCCTTTAGTCTTCAAAATGATCAACTTGTTGGCCCACAAGCTGGTAGTTGTGCTTGAGTTTTCAACATTTTTTGGCATTCTTTCTTTGATTTATAAGTCATAGATGAACTGTGGAAATTTGTTTGTTATTGGTTTATTTTATATAGCTTTGATTTCAGTGTAAATTTTGTTTTCTTTCCTGCAGTGAGCAATCTGTCGCCCAGGCACGGGCATCTGTCATGCTCTACAACAATGAAAGAAAGGAGTGGGAACATTCGGGTGGCTCATCAGGAATCTCCAGAGTCCATGTTTACCATCATCCCATCAACAACACATATAGAATAGTTGGCAGAAAAGTCCAAGATCATGCGGTATGTTTCCAACTGGTTTATGGTAATAGTTTTTTTTGTGACAAATTACTACTTGCTAGAGTGTGAATTCTGTCTTGAAGTCATATTTGGCTTCATTCATCAAGATTTTTTACGTATTAAAAATGCTGATAACAATTTGTGTAATTTTTGTGACGTTTTTGGCCTGGTGAGGGTGTGGATGGGTTGTCCTGTGGACACCCTGTTTTAGGATTAAAAAATGATATTTTTACATCTTGGTTTTAGAGCTGTTGGCTTTATTGAGAGTTGAGGAAGAGTTGAGAGAGAGAGAGTTTTTTTGGCCAATTTGGAAATTTAGATTCTTCAAATTTTCAACATTTGCTGGGTTAAAGGTTAATAATAACTTTAATAATAACTTTATTTCTATAGCGCTCTTATCCTATGTTCAAGGCGGTTTGCTTCCAGACCTATGTCCATGCCTTCCTGGCATTGCTTATGGACACCCACTTACAATTTCCAGGTCTACAGTTGTACTATCTTGTGTTACAGGTGGTTATAAACTGTGCATTAATAAAAGGATTAAAATACAATGAAGCAACACCAACTTTTCACCAGTGGAGAGACCAAAGACAAGTTTATGGTTTGAATTTTCCAAGCAAAGAGGATGCTCAAGTTTTTGGCCATGCTGTGTTTTCAGCTTTGGAAAATCTCAAAGGTGGGGGTTAGTTATAAAATTATAAAAGTATTATAATAATTGTAATATTTTATCTATCTAAAAAGCTGCTATAAGAGTATCAAATAAACGTTTCTGAATGAGTAGGAAATAATTTTGACAGTAGTACATGCTTAATTAGAATACCAGATAGATGTAAGTGTCTGTGTGCTGCCCACAGGCAGGTCCTTCCTCATGAGTCTCGATCCAAGGTGCGTCTACTCTTGACTGCTACCTAAGGTCTGCCATCCTTCACTCAATCCAGCGTTCCTTCTCGACGCCTTCCTGTTGGCCTCTTTCTTATTATTCGCCCCTCAACAACCGATGGGACAAGATTGCCATGCTGTAGGTTATGACCAAGCCAGACTCTGTCTTCTCTTGATAACAAATATGATGGCCCTATCGATCTTCACTGAATTGCCTCAATACTTCATTATAGACTTTTTCAGACCAAGAAATGTTTATGGCCTTCCTCCAAAGCCACATCTCACAGCTCTTCAGCCTTCAAACATCCTCTATTAGATACCTGACAAATTTTCCTTGGGCAATTAAGGCATGAGACTTTTACCCCGACAGTAAGAGGATTGACAGTGTTTGTAGAGGGCCAGATCATTTTAGAAAAACTCTTAAGATTTCAGAAGTCATCTATGAGAGTTACTAAGCTCAGTTCAACAAAATGATTATGCATACTGACCTCTTTTCTTCTCTCACATTAATTTGAGTTTATTTTACTTGATGGGTTTTCAAACAAGAGTCAGTTAAGGCTGTAATGGCCCAAGATTCTCTTCCACGGTTGAGAAATTGGTCTGCAAACGTGAGCTGGCTTGCAATCAAAATGTATGTCTGCAGGAGTGAAACTCCTGCCTTAATGATAAGATTTCGCAAGTATTCAAATTGTTGATGGTATGTGATCAGTGGCATTTTGGTAACTGATTTTTGTATTTACTTTAGGCATGGCTCCTCAACCACAACCAATTATTCAACAACAACATTATGCACCATCATCTCATATGAGCAATGGTAGAAATGAACCGGAAGAGATACCCTCGCATCACCGGGACCAGCCACAGTATGATGCTTATGACCAGTATTCCCGTGGAAGGGTACCATCTGCTGGACCAGAGCGGACCTACCACAATCAGTATGACATGCAGCGTGACAGGCAAAGCCCTATTGTAAGTTTTAACTTTTTATCATTTATGACATTAAGTCTCAAAAATTTTTTCATGCTAGTGATGGAAGGTCAGGTCCCTACTAGTTGAGGTGTATGTATCATTTGACACACAAAATGTTTGTTTTTAGCCCAGTGCAGTTTCCTTGTCAACTTCTCCTGGACCACAGCCAGTCGTCACACAGTCAAGTAAGTTATCACGTGAACTATTTATAATAAATCCCATTTTAAACATTGGGCTGATTTCCTTAGTATTAATGGATCCTTATACCTGCATGTGAAAGTGTGCTATTCAATTTGGTGACTGGAATTTCCAGTTTCCTTATACAAATAAACAATATACCTTCCTAGCTTCTGTCTTAATTAAATATTGATCTTAGCACTTGCTACTCTTTGATGATCTCACCAACAGCTGCCCCCCCTGCACCACCTGCACCTCCAGTTCCGGCAGCACCACCAGCTCCTCCAGCCCCGCCTGCTCCGCCCGCTGCACCCCCTCTGCCAGTAGGAGGTGGACCTCCTGCTCCACCTCCACCCCCAGCAGTTCAAAGTGGGGGAGGTGGGTCTTTGGCTGATCAGATTGCTGCAGCAAAACTTAAGAAGGCTTCAAAGGTAATATTTTTAGGTTCTCATGTCAAACAGATTTACAACATTTGGGAGCATAAGAGTGGATTCATTTGTCACTTAATAATAAATGCAACAAAAGATCTTGCATATGCAGCTCTCAAGAGTTTTTATAACATGATTGGTCAATTACCCATTACTTTTTGCCCGTGGAAAAATATGTACGGAAGCTAGTGTGTGCTCAAAGCTCTAAATGTCACTTTCTTTGTGACTGCATCATAGTTCAAGGTTTGTGTCTTAATGCTTAGGGAATGTTTACAAAAACGATTACGCTTCTTTTGTCAAACTCTTGCCTGCAACCTTAACTGACATAACTTGATGGTTGCACACTCCATGTTTGATGTGTATTCAAAACAGGCAGCATTAGTACGAATTCCTCTGACGTATTCTCACACATTCATAATACTAATAGCTTCAGTGAAGCAATACTGTAAAGGTGCACAGGAAATTCAACTTGTGTGATGATATCTCAAATTCTTGTGACCTTTCTGGTTGACTAAGCACACATCATGTACGTGTAAATACAATATTAAGGAGAAATTTGCAGCTGATCTTCACTGAGGGTTAAAGGGTTGAAGATTGCTTACTTTGCAGACAAATCATTTGGTACAGAAAAATATTTTAATGGATATCATGAAAAGTGAAAGGGTGTAAGAGGTTGAAAGAGCATTTATTCATCTCTAGGCTGAGAATGAAGGTTTCAGAAGTGACAGAGCCAATTCAGCAAGTCGTGGGGGTGGAAAGAATATGGGAGGTGGTATGGACATGATGGCGGAAATGGCAAGGAAGCTAGCGGCAAGGTCTGTTCCATGATTTGACTTCTACCTTGTTTTAATAGCAGATGTGATACAAGCAAGGGACAAGGGGTCTTAACCCCCTTGAACCTTCCTCTGATTATAACCCTTATTAGCAATACTCCAAGAGGCTTGACGTGCCACCAGACACTAGCGTAAGTTGCCACTGTGTTACTCCCATGGCTGATAGCTGTGCCTCTAGCCTCCTCCTTGTAAAGGTCAGAATTTTATTTTCATAGTTCATGATTTGACTTACCCTAAAGTATTGTTAGAGGAAAGTCTTAAGTTACTTCAAGCTGATAAGCACTGATGTGTATTTTTTTAGAAAAGCCAAAGAAGAAGGAAGAGACGTAGAGGTAAGAGTGGTTTGGTCCTGATAGTTAGTGTTACTTATTCATGTTTTTACCTGTGAGCTACAATAATGATGATTCAGCTGTGTTCGACTGATTTTTCTTGTAATTCTTCACTCTAGCCCATTAAAGAAGAAGAAAGGCCCGAAAGAACTGGTAAGTATTAGTTAACTCTTAGTTTGTTGGCATATTTGTAGACAAGAAATTGTGTCAGTTTGAGGAAGAAAGAGCCCTTTTTCAACTGATGGTGACAGTTGTTTTTGTCTTTTTTAAGGTCCACGCATAAACACTAGCAATCCACCTTCAACTCCTGCATTTGGGAATGGCAATTCCAAAGCCAATTTCCTGACACCAGCCAAGCCATCAAGTAATAATGGAGTCAGGTAAGAACATAAGTGTTCCATAACAATGACAATTCTACTCTTTGGAAGGTCAGTTAAGCAAGTGCACTGTTTTAGGACATGGCAAGCAGGGTCCCATGGGTGCCAATACCAATTTCTTACTCCATAGGTATAGCATAGCTTATTTTCTATGGAATGGAATCTTGCACCTTTTTCCGATGGTACGTCAAGTATAAGGAAAGGTATACTGTCCTTACATGATGTAGTGCAGAAACTCAAGAAAGATTGATCAGTAACAAGATCACTGCTGTTGAGTCATTCCTCATTTGCAGAGAAATCACTCAAACAACTGCTTCAAATCATTGTTTTGTTGCAGGAAATCAAGCAAGAGTGAATCACCATTAAGTAATGATCAGTTGGAGGAATTGAAAACAGTAAGAGTCCCTAATTAGAGCTTGTCTCTTTCTTGCCTCTTATCCTCTTTTTTTACCTGATTGATTTGTTAGTTTTGCTGAGATGTTGCTGTAAATTCTGTAATAGTCATTTAAGAAAAAGTCTGAACATAAATTAATCTTTTCTAAATATTATAAATATTGATCTTCTGTATAATGCCAATAGCAAACAGACAAACTCAACGGTTTTCTGGTCGTGTTAGTGTGTGATTGAGGTGGTATTTTTTCAATGGGTTCCTCGTATCCGTACCCACATAGTTCTCAATCCTAAAATATTTTTTAGTTAGTCTTTGAAAATCAGGAAATAAGCATATGTACATTAAGACTGTGATTAGCCAATTAAGACATTAACTTTCTCAGGATTAGCGCAACTCTCTATTTTTTGTGTTGATTCATCAAAAACCACTGAAAACATTATTGCAACACCGTTGTATCAGCAAGAGAGTTCCGGACTGTAATTCATAAA